AATAAAAATATTGATGAAAACAAACTTGTTCTTGTATTGATATCAAACTACTGGACATTTGTCAAGGGATATTTCTGATTTTCAATGGATTTTTTGAATATTTGTTGAGTAAAACACAACTCTTTTCAATCAACTATAAAAAAGATAAAAGTACAAGAATTTCATTATTATTTAATTAAAAATATGACATTATTTACAAAGCAGATTATATTCTACTTGTTTATAATGAGTTCATTCAGTACTTTGGACATATATAATTTTTATTGATCTAAATAATCAACTTAACACCAGGGATCAGTTGTTGTCTTAAATACAGTTCACATTTACTTGTTATGTTATTACCCAGTAAGTCTAACTCTTTTACACGACAATCATCACGTATTAATACTGAACACAGACACCGAGCACCAACATCTGTTATATTATTACCACCTAGGTATAGGCCTGTTATCTTAGTACGAGGCAACATGTCACATATTATTATAACACCAACATCTGTTATATTATTAGCAGCTAGGTATAGGTCTGTTATCTTAGTACGAGGCAACATGTCACATATTATTTTAACACATTCATCGTCTAAGTTACAAGCAATCAGCCACAGTTCAACAATAGTAGAAATACTAACAAGAGAATTACACAACATTCTGATCCCTGATGCTGATAAAGATGACCCACCAATGCACAATCTATTAACAATGAATGACTGTGTAAATATTGGATGTTGTTTAGTTTTTTCTGCGTTGATTAAATTCACTATATCTAATAARTAACTTATGTACAAACAATCGATATCAGTTACTTCACTAAATACCATCCACTCGAGCATATCACAGTATATGTGTTTAAGGTTATTTATTACTCTGGTAGAAAATCCATCGTCTTTGTACTCGTAAAGACAGGATAAAGTTAGCAGTTTATTCCTATGATCGTCTTTGTCCTCTGGTTTGGTATTTTCTATCAACTTTTCCATCAGTTTTTCATCTTTTTCTCTTGAAAACATTCCCGCCATGAACATGAATGTCACATCGCTCGTTTTCTTTTTCTCTGGGATTTGTTTTTTCTCTACAAACAAAAAAGCACAGAGAAATTCTTGAATCGTTAAGTGGGTGAACGTAAATTCAAGTGGTGGTTTCTCGAATGGAGATTTTTTAACGCCAGGACAACAGTCAAGTAATCCACTCGCTTTCAGGTTTCTTATTTCTTCATCGTTAAGATTGAATTTTTTCATATCATTTTCGTTGAAAATATATTTATTTTCCATCATTAAATTCACCGCTAGTTCAGCTAGTTTATGTAATATTTCTTGTACTTTACTTTCTTCCATTTCTTCATATTTAGAAGAGGAATGTTTCTTGATAAATACTTTGATTACTTCAAGATAAAGTTCTGTTCTTGTGACGGGTAGTTTTTCTGTGGATTTTGATTCAGTCATGTACCACTTAATGCAGTAGCACATTAGAAAACACATCACAGGAATGTGACCAAAACTTAAAAGAATTTCATTCGTTTTGATGTGATCAAGTGCTTTGTTCTTCATGCTTTCGTTCTCTTTGAAATATTTTTGGATGTATTCTAACACTTGAAGTGAAGAAAATCCTTGAATGTCACATCTCACATCAAAGACAATTTCTTTTAATTCCTCGGCTTCTTCAGGCCTCGAGGATATCAGGACCACTGCACCGTTTAACATCTTGCCTTTCATGATTTTGGCAATCAGAGCAGGAACAGGTAGTTTTTCATGTGGGTCGTTTGGGTATCTTGTCTCAAAGTCCCCGATGATTTTCTCTCGATGCGGTTTATACTCATCATACCCATCGAGTATGATGAGCAGCTTCTCAGGATTATCAATCATGTACTGCAGTAATGGCTCGTCTATCACCGAGTCTTCGTTCAGTAGGGAGGACTGACTTAAGATATCACGTAAGTCAAGCCTTTTTTCTTTTGGAAGAACAAGTTGACGGAATGTCAACAAGAACACAAACTGAAAATCAGGTACTTTTGYATTTTCTTGATCTTCCTCAAACAATCGGTTATGCGACCAATCCCGTACCAGCTTACGACAAAAGAGGGATTTCCCAATTCCTGCTTTGCCCGTCAACAAGATAGATTTAGGATTGGTCGTGCAAGAAGCTGTAGATTTCTGATCATCATTTTCTGGGCAAAGAAACATTTCTGAACAGTTTGTGAGTTTTGTACTACTCGCTTGAATTACATCCAATTGCCTCCTGCCAAATCTCTTTTCTTTGGGTTCCTCGAAGTGTTTTTTACCGCGTTGGCTAGTCACACTCGTAAAGATGTCATCGGTTCTAATTTTCTTGTCTTCTTCCTCTGACAACAGAAAATCGGTTTGCTGTTTAATGGATGACTTCAGTTTTTCTGTATATTCTGAAAATCAAAACACAACAATTTAMCACCCAAAACACAGGAAGAATAAAATAAACAAATAAATAACACAAATGGGATTTAGCAGTGGCATTTCTACAGAGTAGCTATTCATCCACTGTCATTCCAATGGGAAGAAAAGGTAAGAATAATATAATCCTAGTTTATAAAATATATGAGATATAACGTGCCCGCTGATTGCCTGGTTAGCGTATCTATATCAGAGGACAGAGACACGCTCGCGCAAAATCGTTCAAAAATATTTTATAAAAGCAATATAGAACGGCTGCTTTGGTTTCACATGATATTCTAAACCATCAAGACCTCAGCTGTGTCATTCTCAGTCTCCTCGATCTCATCCAATATCAATTCATTTTATGAAATGAATACATGCAAGTGTTTTAGTTTAGAAACACGATGGTACTGGCACCACCTTCCTGGAAATATATTAGAAATAAAACTAAATCCATTAAGTTTTTAAGGTGTTTCGATACAGTTTCGTGATCACCAAACAGAACTTTTTCAATCGTCGCGTTGACAATGTTCTGTTTGCTGGATCATTATGGAACTTATACCAGTTGTTGCTCTTGGTTTGAAGTTTGTACTAATGTATATTTTATTAAAATCAAAGTCTTCAACGCAAGAAAAATCGAAGAAAAATCGAAAATTGRAAAAAATAAAAGTGCGCGCGATTCAGATGTGCTGTAGAAAAACTGTTAACTCCTAAGAATCCCCAATTCATGACAAACAAAATATTAAGGATTTAAAGAAATTCTTATGTTAGATTTGGAGAAAATCGCACGAACATTTCATACTCTCAGTTTTGTTTATCGCTTTTGCGCACTCGGTATAAAAAAATTACTATTAAATAGAATTATTCAAAAATATCTTAAAACGTTGCTGTTGCTCTTGTTTTTAAACTGTGTGCGTTTGGTCAACTAGTTCCTTGCTGGTCTTGAGAACGAATTTTTTTCCGAAGAGCG